GGTCCCCTTGACCTTCTCCTCCCGCTGTGCTGGGGATGGGTATGACCCTGGGGGTCCCCTTGACCTTCCCCCCACTGCTGTGCCGGTGATGGGGATGACCCCGGGAGTCCCTCAACTGCCAACCCCCCCCGCCAAACCCCTGGGTTCTCCTGGCAGGGCAGTTGGGAGCCTCCTTCGAGTTGTCGGTCGAGCCGGAGATGCTGGTGGTGGAACACGGCGGGTCGATCCGGTTGAAGTTGAAGACGACGTGCCAGGATCCCGAAGCATCTGGCAATGTGGAGACGTCGGTTCGGAAGCAGGTGGTGACGATGGGGCCCACAGAGATGGTGGTGGACCTGCTCAACATCACCACGTGGAACACCAGCGTCCTCTGCTTCTACAACTGCAACGGTTCCAGGAAGGTGTTGACCATGAAACTCATCACCTACCGTAAGGCACCGTGGGGAGAGGGGGTCCCTGCCCATCCCGGCACACCGGGATTGTCCCCATCACATGTGTCTCTCCCCTAGGTGCGCTGGAGCCGGCGGTGCGGGAGCCGATACCGCAGCTGCAGGTGGGTCAGCGCCATGAGCTGGCATGCCACGTGGCCAACGTTGTACCGAAGCAGAACCTGACGATGATCCTGTGGCGGGGCAGTGAGATACTGCGCACCAAAACCTTTGAGAATTACAGCCAGGACAAGCCGGAGGAGGCACGGCTGACCTACAGGCTGACGGCAGAGCGCCAGGACAATGAGCAGAACATCACCTGCCAGGCGCTGCTTGACCTGTCACCCTACGGCCCACGGTTCAACACCACCTCCAACCCGCAGACGTTGACCGTCTATGGTAAGCCGGCACTGGCATCTTACTGGCGTTTGCTCTGCTGCGGTTGTGGCAACTGGCTCATCCTGGGGTGTTTCCCTCTGGTGGCAGAATTCCTGAAGGATCCTGAGCTGGAGCCTCTCATCAACCTGGAGATTGGCGAGACGGTGAACACCAGCTGCACTGTCAGTGACATCTTCCCGGTGGCACAGTTCGAGCTGTCGCTCGCCAACCAGACCCTGCCGCTCTCCATCAGCCAGGACGGGCACCGGGCCACCGCCGAGGTGTCCCAGAGTGAGCCAGGGACCTTCAAGCTGGTTTGCACCGTGAGGGTTGGACCCATCGAGCGGTGGACGGAGGCGACCATCCAGGTCTACCGTGAGTAACGGCGGGCGGGGGGCTGAACCACACACGCCCGACCCCGGGC